AACTGCTACCGGTGAGGGTCCATCCCAGGGGGCACAGATACAGTGGAGGCAAATTGTGGCAGCTCCTGGTTCCTTGTGCCATATCCCAACAGATCCTGGTCCCTTGTGCCACATCCCAATAGATCCTGGTCCCCTCTACCACATCCCAACAGCTTCTGGTCCCCTCTGCCACATCCCAACAGCTCCTGGTCCCCCCTGGCTGCAGCCTGGGCATCTTTCCCCATTTCACTGAAGGCTCTGGTGTGATGGGCCCGGAGAGGGAACTGGAGTGGGGCAAGGCCAGGGCAGCTGGGGCAGGGTGAGGGCTGACCTGGAGTGGGGTCTCTGCCTCTTTTCTGCCCCCCAGGGATGCCCTGGTCACCAGTGCAGTGAACTGCCTCACCAGCTTCCTCTCGGGCTTCGTCATCTTCACCGTGCTGGGCTACATGGCCGAGATGCGGGACGTGGAGGTGGAGGATGTGGCCAGAGATAAAGGTTCTCCTCCCTCCTTCAGCCTCTTCCCACGCCCAGGGCTGTGCCAGGGAGCAGCCAACCAAGCCAGTGTCCCCTCCCAGGGCCCAGCCTCCTCTTCATCACCTACCCTGAAGCAATTGCCAACATGGTGGGATCCACCTTCTTCGCCATCATCTTCTTCCTGATGATGATCACCCTGGGGCTGGACAGCACGGTAGGAGGGGACAGCCCAGCTGTGTCCCCAGCAGGGACCAGGGTGGCCATGTCCCATGGGGTGGAAGGGGAGTTTATGGCCATGGGATGGGATGGGATGGGATGGGACATCCCCACTCTGCCATGCAGATTTTCGTGGAGAGCAGGGCTGTCCCCACACCCCATTTTCCCACCCCACACCAGCATTCCTTTGCAGTTTGGAGGCTTGGAGGCCGTGATCACGGCCGTGATGGACGAGTACCCCCAGGTCCTGGCAGGGCGACGGGAGCTCTTCGTCCTCGGGCTCATCACCGTCTGCTTCCTGGGCTCCCTCAGCACCCTCACCTACGTGAGTCCCCCTGGCACCACCCTGCCCTGGCCCCCCACATCCCCTCCTTCACCCCATGGGCTCTGCAGCCTCCCCCTGCTGCTCCAGGGGGGAGCCTACGTGGTGAAGCTGCTGGAAGAGTTTGGTGCTGGCTGCTCCATCCTGGCAGTGGTGCTGCTGGAAACCATCGCTGTCTCCTGGTTTTATGGTAAGAAACTGCATTCCTCTGTCATGGAAAACACTCTGTGGGCACCTACAGGGGTGTGTGGCCCTGCACAGGTGAGTAAATCCCGGGCACTGTGTCCTGGCTGGGGGTCCTGGCCGGGCTGGGATGGGAGCAGAGGGATGGGATGGAAGCAGTTGTGTCCATGTGGATACCCCTGACCCCACATCCCCAGCAGGATCCCGGGGCTCTGAGGGCTCTCTCCTCTGGCAGGGATCCAGAGGTTCTCCCACGATGTCAAAGCCATGCTGGGCTTCACCCCAGGGCTCTTCTGGAAGCTGTGCTGGGTCGCCATCAGCCCAGCCTTGCTGGCGGTGAGTACCCATGGCCAAATTGTGGACAAGGTCATTGCTGTTCCTCTGGACACCCTGCAGCCTCTCCCCTCTGCTGCCCAGCTCCCCGTGCCATGGATAACTCCCCTCTCACCCACACAAGCTGCCAGGAGAGCAAACAGGGCTGTGGGACCTCACACCAGCCCTCCCCATGCTGCTGCTCCAGCCACAGTGCCCACATCCCCAGCACCACACCAGGAAAGGGAGCTGGAAGTTCATTTTCCAGCCTTTTCCACAGCTCCAGGTGCTCACACAGGTGCCAGCTCAGCTTTGCCTCACCCTCCCAGCACTCAGCACCCCTGGCAGGGCTGGCCATGGGTCCATGTCCCCCGTGCTGGGCTGGATCCATCCCTTTGAAACGCCAGCTCCCAGGGCACTTCAAAGGCTGCCGTCGGCACAGGGGTCTGATCTCACCGGATCTGCAGGAGAAGAGGCCTTGTGAGGATTAATTATGGCTCTAAGCACTCTGCCCTGGTTATTAAGAGAGGAGTGTTATCATCAAAGCACACGCAGCACAGGGTTTTGTTTCAGCACGGGGCTGAGCAGCCCTCGCAGGCATTGTCAGACAGAGCTCCCAACCCTCACCCAGCCAGGGAGGCAGCCGGGGAGATGTCCCTGTGATGTCCATGCTGGATGGGATTTGGGGTGACAGGGGGAGCAGCAGGATGTGGAGGGTGCTCAGAGAATCATGGAAATTCAGAATGGTTTGGGTTGGAAGGGACCTTAAAGATCATCTGGTTCCATCCCTGTACCCCGATAATGTGACGGTGTTCACAGGGGTCTGAGGATGAGGGAAGAGATAAGGATCTGACTCCATGGTTCAGAAGGCTTGATTTATTATTTTATGATATATATTATATTAAAATGATATATTAAAGCTATACTAAAAGAATAGAAGAAAGGATTTCATCAGAAGGCTGGCTAAGAATAGAAAAAGAAAGAATGAATAACAAAGGCTTGTGTCTCAGAGAGCCTGAGCCAGCTGACTGTGATTGGCCATTAATTAGAAACAACCAAGATGGACCAATCACAGATGCACCTGCTGCATTCCACAGCAGCAGATAATCATTGTTTTCATTTTGTTCCTGAAGCCTCTCAGCTTCTCAGGAGGAAAAATCGTAAGGAAAGGATTTTTCATAAAAGATGAAAAATGTGTGACACTGATAACATGTGGGGTGAGCTGCCATCAGTGCCAGGGCTGGGGAGATCAGGGAATTATTTAGGTTGGAAAAGCCCTCTAAGATCAAAGAGTTCAAGCTTTACCCAGCACTGCCAAGGCCACCACTAACCCAGGTCCCCGAGGGCCACATCCACACATCTGCTAAAGCCCTCCAGGGATGGGGACTCCACCACTGCCCTGGGCTGGTCAGCCCTTTTGGTGAGGATATTTTTCCTGATGTCCAACATAACCTGGCACAACCTGAGGCCATTTCCACTGGTTCTGTCCCTTGTTCCCTGGAAGCAGAGCCCAACTCCCATCTGGCTGCACCCTCCTATCAGGGAGTTGTGGGGAGACAGGAAATCCTTCCTGAGCCCCCTTTTCTCCAGGCTGAGCCCCTTTCCAGCTCCCTCAGCTGCTCCAGCCCCTTCCCCAGCTCTGTTCCATTCCCTGGACATGTCTGTCTTGGTGTGAGGGGCCCAAACTGCTCACAGGACTGGAGGCCCCTGTGGCTCTGCTCGTTTCAGTTCATTGTCATCAGCTCCCTCCTGGAGCAGCCTCCCCTGACCCTCTTTGAGTACCAGTACCCCGAGTGGAGCATCTCCGTGGGATTCCTCATCGGGGCATCCTCCTTCATCTGCATCCCCCTGTACATGGTGTACAAGCTCGTCTGGACTCCAGGGTCCCTCAAGCAGGTCAGGAGTGACAATCCCAGGGCTCCTGGGTGGGTAAGGACCCCATTGGGGAGCTGGGCTGGTTGATGCATCCTTGTGATGGTGTTCACAGGGGTCTGAGGATGAGGGAAGAGACTCCATGTTTCAGAAGGCTTGATTTATTATTTTATGATATATATTACATGAAAACTATACTAAAAGAATAGAAGAAAGGATTTCATCAGAAGGCTAGCTAAGAATAGAATAGCAAAGAATGATAACAAAGGTTTGTGGCTCGGGCTCTGTTCGAGCCAGCTGGGCTGTGATTGGCCATTAATTAGAAACAACCACAAGAGACCAATCACAGATCTACCTGTTGCATTCCACAGCAGCAGATCACCATTGTTTACATTTTGTTCCTGAGGCCTCTCAGCTTCTCAGAAAGAAAAAATCCTAAGAAAGGATTTTTCATAAAAAATGTCTGTGACACATCCTCAGCATCTTTGTTAAGCGGCAATTCAATCCCACCGGGATTTAACGCCCTGGGGAGGGCTCAGAGGAGGGAAACGCGCTGTGTTTTATCTCTCCATCAGCGCCTCGCCGTCTGCATCCGGCCCGAGAAGCTCCTGCGAGCCCCCCAGGCAGAGGGGGTGGGCATGAACCCCGTCCTGTAGCGAGGGGGACACGGGGACACCTCGGGCTCCCTCCTTGGCACCCAGAGAGGGGCAGCTCCTCACCACGGACCGGACCTGGCATCTCCACGAGCATCCCCGGCGGGGCAGAGCCCGTTCTCGCTGCTGGCACGGAGGAAACCACGGCAGGGAGAACGGGAGCAGCGCTGCGGCCCCTGGGGGACAAACACCCGGGGAGGGGGGAGAACCCCAGCTCACGGAGCGGATGGAGCAATTGCCTGGCTCCGAGGTTCCCCCTGCGTGTCTGTAGCTGTGCCGTGAGTGTTTGGAAAATAAAGGTGACGGTGATGCTCGGAGATGAGGGGAGGGAGAGGAGCTGGAGCTCGCAGTGTTCGTGGAGCGCCGTGCGGGGCTCAGAGCCTGGGTTGGGGGACAGGGGGGCTATCGTTGTCCATGGGGTGCTGTCGCTGTCCAGACACACTTTGTCCTGCTAAAAACATCCAAAATCTGACCGAGCCCGGGGGTGAGTCCCCGGTGCTGCTGAAGCTGGGCAGGTCGGTGCCTCTTTCCGCCCCATTTTGGGGGGATGCAGGGAACAGGCATTTAAAGAGGGAAAAACCCCAATATATCTCATTTTAAACCCAAACCCTGGCTCGGGGTGAGACATCCCTGGGCCGTATCAATCAGCCACCTGCCGCGGCTTCTTAATCCCATCACTCCCAGAGCAGCATCACCGCTCCTCGGGGTTTGGGGACCTTAAAACACCGGGAAGAACCCACAGTGGTGACAGCGGGGGCTTTGGGGGACACATGGGGTTCGGGGGACACACGGGGCTGGGGGGCAGAGGATGCCCACGGGGTGCAGGGATGCGCGGGTCTGCCCCGGGCGCAGCGCTCCCGGTGCCGCTCCCGGTGTCGTTCCCGGTTCCCGTTCCATGGCCCCGCTCCCCCGGAAGGCCGGTGCCGGGGCGGGGCGGGCGGCAGGAAGGGGCAGGGCCGGTGCCGGCGCACAAAGCCCGGCGGGTCCGAGGTGTCGCGGCGCGATGGGGCTGGCGGCGGCGCGGGGCTGGGCGCTGTCCCCGCTGTCGCCGGGCCCGGCGGAGCGCAGCCGGCCCTACGCTGTGCTGCAGCACCAGAACCTGGGTGAGGAGCGGGGGGCACCGGGGACGGCCCCGCCACGACCCGGCCGGGGGCTCGGGAGATGCTCGGGGAGTGTTGGATTAATGTTCTCTCTCTTGCCGCCGCAGTGCTGCTGGGCAGCATCCTCAGCGCTCTGCTGCTCACCATCATCCTCATGGCCATCTGTGTGTACCGGCCCGTCCGGCGGCGGTAGCGGAGCGGGACCCGCCGGGGCATCCAGAGAATGCTGCATCCCACCCGGTTCTCCCGCCTGGAATCCGCCATCCCAGCATCGCTTCAGCCCTGCCGGTTCTCCCGTCTGGTTCCCGCCGTCCCGGCTCTGCTCCGGACCCAGCAGGTTCTCCGCTCCGGTTCCCACCGTGCCGCCGCTGCTCCGGTCCCGCCCGGTTCTCCCGTCCGCTCCCGGGGATGCGCTGAGGATGCGATCGCGGCTTTTCCCCCGTCTCTGCCCGTGCTGTATCCCGTGGCTCCATCGTGATGTGGCTTCCAGCAGTGCTCTGGCGGGGTGCTGGAAATCATCCTCTTCCTCAGCAAAGACTCCTGGAGCTCCTGGGGTGTGTCCGCAGCGATCCCGCCTGTCTCGGAGCAGGGGCTGAGCAAAACCTCCCAAATCCCCGCGTTTTGGCGAGGCTGATCCCACGCCGTGTGCTCCAGAGCATCCCCGGGCCGTGCAGGGACCCGGGGCCTCGGTTGGCACAAGGACAGGGCGAGACTGGCGGCATTGTGCGAGGAGCAGCTCCACGTGCTCGGTCACACCGCGTCTGCTTTTTGCTTTCTGATTAATTCAGGTCCTTGTTTGAACGCCGGGTCCTGGGGGTTGGACGGGGCTTGGAGCAAGCTGGGGTAGTGGGGGGGTGTCCCTGTCAGAAGAGGATGAGCTTTAAGGTCCCGTTCAAAAATACTCCAAAGGTAAAAGCTCAGTGAGCCAGCCAGCAGTGGGTGGAGGGCCTGGCCCATTCCTGCCACTGATGCGTGATCTGATCCTGGTGTAGTTTTTCCCAAGCCAGGCTTCTCATTCCCAACGTTATTTGCTTTAACTCCTGGCTGAAAAGCCCCAGATAACCTCCCATCAAACCAGCCCTGCTGAACCTGCTGGGAACTGGGGTGCAGGTGAGGGGTTCCAGCATGTGCTGGTCACTGTCCTCCTGCAAAGAGGAGCCTCCAAAGGTCTGCAAGCCAGGCAGATGCTCTGGAAGAGTTTCAGCTCCAGCCAGACCCATTTTGTGCAGTTTCAGTAACAAGTGTTTACACTGAATCCCACTTCCATACGAATGCTGCTATTTTGTTTTGCACTGCTACAAGTAGCAACTGGATTTTACTAATTATTACTTTAATATTTAACATAGGGGTGTTTTGCTTAGTAATTTATTTAGAGTTTTAAAATGTAACTTCCAGAACAATTGTTGTTGACCTGTTCTCAAGCCCTCGTGCTGCCTCTGAGGTGTTTTCTGTTCTGTTTCAAGGCCACCGAGTGCTGGCATTGAACAGGGATTTTCTTTGTTTTGAGAAATGACACAGTGAGCCTGGCCTCGAGCAGATGGAGTTGTTAATCCAAGAGTGAGGCAGCAAGGCAGCACTGTTCTTTCTATTGCTTTCTGCTCCTTCTTTTGATTCCTGTGCTCCTGATTTTCCTTGCTCCTTCACCTCTGTGAAGCCTGGCCTGCTGCTCGTGGGGGTGGATGGTGAAGCTCCCAGCCCCAGCTCTGCATTCCCAGGAGCAGAATTCCTGTTTGCTCTCATTCCTCACTCCCTGCTATGCCTCTTTGTACAAATAAAACGCTCAGTAAACAATCCAGGCTCTTATTTATTCAATGGCTGTGCTGTTTGTTATTAACTGGGCTGGAAAGGGGTGAGGCTGTCCTGGTTCGCACCTCTGGTCCCCTCATGGCTCCTACTTTGTTTTTAGTGGGATGGCAGTGCTGGGGAAAGCCAGGGAAGAGGATGGCAGGGCTGGGGGAATGTTTCCATGGATGTTTGTCAGCAAGGAGCCCTTTAACAGCACAATGGAAGCACTTCCTACAAAGGCTGTGCAGTTTCCAGCAGCTCAGCTATGAATCCAAACTCAGCCAAAGCAGTGGAAGAAGGGTTTCCAAATAAACAAAATCATGAATTGCTGATGTAAAAAGCTTTGAAATGGGGTTAAAAGCACAAAAAAAACCCACACAGTCTTGCTTTCAGGAACTAGCAGCATCAAATTAAAGAACTTTTAAAGCTGGTTATAGTTTTAGAAGAAGCTACAGGTGTTTGTAACTCTGAGCTTCTCTTTCCTACATCAGCCTCAAGCTGCCTCAGAGAGAGGTTGGACTCTGTTTACACAACAGTCTTGACCTTAATATTAAACCCACTCAGAACCCTCTGCTCCTCTCTTACAAGAAGCTGCAGAGAGAAATTAATAGGATTTCCTGCTTTTCACTGCCTTAACTTCTGTGTTGTACCGATCCCCCCTTTTCAAGACAGGGAGACTCAAAATTTCGTTGAAAATGTCCAAAAGCCAGAACTACCTTGGAGAGTTTCACAGATGATAATGTCACTTTAATGTACAAAAAGATAATTAATAGGAAAAAAAAATACTCCAAATACAGTGAGAAAAAATACCTGTGTGTGGTGTAATGGGCAGTACCTTTGGTTTTTCTTCCAGCACACAGAGCACGTCCATCTTACACTGAAAGGGTTAAGTCAGGCTGTAAGAGAAGCAGCACCTGGCTGAGGGAAGCAGGGCCTTCTAGTTTTAGCTGGAATGATACAAATGTCAAAGCAAGCAAAAAAAAAAAAAAAAAAAACCAAAGCTAATCCAATTTATTTTACAGTCCCAGACTAAGAAGCAGGAGTGTAACAAAACTTCAACTGAAAGTGCTCAATGTTCTTTAGTTTAAATATAAAACCAGAACAAGTCAGCTTGAAAAAATGCTATTTTTACCCCTCTTGTAACCTTTGAAAAGCTTAGCAGAAGACAGGCAATGCCAGGCAGGGTTTGTGAAGGCAACAGCACTCTTTATTCCCACTGGAGGAATGCCCACAGCTCCATCTCCTGCCTCCCACCCTGCCAGGAGCTCAACATGAGATCTCCCTTCTCCCAGCTGTGACAGTCACAGGAATCCCCTTTTGCAAAGAAAGAAATCCCAACCCAGCCCCTGTGCAGGACAGTCCCCATTCCAGCAGCTGTTTTCAGGGATGCAAGTTGTGCCAGAGAACAAACCCAGTGTGGAGAGGCCAGTCCTAGTGTACACTGAAGGAATTGTATTCATCTCCTATGTAAAACAATGGATTATTAGTTTAAAATAGGCTTCCAACTGCCCCACTGGTTATGATCAAGTCCATTTTAGAGTGATTTTACATTGGTTAATTAATAGTTGGTCACCCAGAAGTGCCCTGTTCAGCCTGAGGAACAGCAGCAGTGTTAGGAGCAAGCTCAGAGCAGCTGTACCAAAGGTTCCTCCAGCCCTGGCAGGCAGAGCAGAGGGATATTGCTCACATTTAACAAGTGTAAGGCTTTCCTGTGGCTGTTCACCGTGTACCTGTGGAGTGCACTTGAGAGTCACAGTGTGAGTACTGTAAACACTGAGAGGAGTGCAGATAAAAGAGCTACAAAGATCCTGCATGGCCAAAAACCTGAGGAAAGCTGGTTAAAACAGACCTAGGAATCGTTACAAGACCAGTTGGATGAGTGTAGGCCTAGTGGTTTGGTTTAAAATCAATAAAAATATTCAGGTAAAAAAATAGATGTATTCACATGAAGGACAAGAGCTGGGGTTTTAAAAAGCAACACACGTTTCCCTTGCAGAATGAAACTTCTCCTCCAATAAGGACACATGAAAATCTCCCCTGAATTCTTTTCCTGGCTGCATTTAGCACCCACACTCAGCCATGCACACCAAGAGATCCCAAAGAAGCACCTGTATCTATCTATGCCTTAATTTCTTGCTGCCCTCTGAGCAGGGGAAAGAGCTGGTTTGGAATCACTGCAGAAATTGCTGCTGTGCTGGACAGATGGTCCCATTTCAGCATCTAAAATGTTACTGGCTACTTGGTTTGTCCTTTTTTCAGAAAGCACTAGTTTAATCTGGAGCTTGGATGAGCTGTTCAAGTATAAAATTATCCCTCTTAAGCCAAAAATCTCAATAACTGGAGGAGAGATAACCATATCTAAACAAAACTAACAGAAACCATCTGTCAGCATGAAGAACTACAGTGTGTGTAGAGGCAGGGAGATGCTCTCCCATGAAACAGCTGGAAAAACAGGCAATGGCTTTGAATTATTAAAAAATAATGAAGCAGATGAGCATTTCTTTGGTAAGTAATGAAGTTTCCCTCCTGAACTCCCCATAAATCAGGCTTTCAAGCTTTACTGCAATCCTACATCCTGATGCAAAGCAAAATTTCCATCTGCTCTTCAATAAATAAGTTTAGATAAAAACATTTCCTTCAAAGCTAAGACTGCATGGCTGGGGAGCCAGATGTGGAGTCCTGTGATCTACAACTCCCCCAAACAAAAATAAATCAGCTTTTTGCAGCTGATGCCAACTTAGAAGGCAGCAAAACGTTTCCTTAAGCAATCCAGGAGTGGTCTTCAGACTGACAGCTCTGACAATCTCCAGTTTGACACAGATTTGGTCATCCCCGCTTCAGGAGGTCACTTAGGAGTTACTTTTCCACAAGAGAGAGCTGTAAAACTTGCTGAAGCTCTGCGTCCTCCTGCTCCTGACGCTGCTTCTCCTGCTCCTCCTGCTCCCTGACTGACAATTCCATGGCAAGCTGCAAGTCCTTCTCAAAGCTGGAGGCTTCACTGGAGGTGCTGCTGTGGGAGGTCCCTGATCTTGACAGAAAGCTCTCCTGAAGTGCCCTGATGGAAAAGAACAACTCTCAGAAGTTAAAGAGACAGAGCCTGACTCATATTCTTTGCAATGATCCTTCCTGGCAACTTTTTAGATTCACAAATCTGAAAATCTCCTCCAGAGGGGAGAAAACAGTTTGAGGATATGAGAGCAGCTGCTCCAACACCTGTAAAATTCCCAATGACAAACAGGGATTCCTTTGAATTCATAGATACCAACAGTTTTGGTTCATAGATACCAACAGTTGTATTTTCAATGGGCCTCTAAAAGCATCCTTACCTGGTTTAAAGGATTTTTCATGCATAGAAGAAGCCAGAAGATTCCGTTCTTGGTTTCTTTGCACTTAACTGCAGGAAGACTCCACAGACACCAGAGCCCATTTTTAGGTGTCCATTAAATCTATGTTTTTAAGGATTACATAAGGATTTTGAAAAGAAAGATCTGCCTTGAAGTGTGCAGCCTCTAATAACCAAAGACTCAATGGAGAGGGACCAAATTCAGAATTTTAAGAGCAGAAGAGGA